AATACTTTACAATTGACTGGGAAAAAAGTCACACATTTATGTAAATAAAAATGCATTCTCACGTTGTTGAGAAATAAATGAGATTGTTTTCACTTTGAAATTGTCTTTCAACTCACAATACAATCAATTCAATTCATTGCAATATATCCGATTATGTAGATTTTTGTGGAGTCACCAAAATAAACATTGAAGGGAAGTACAGTAGCTGGTATACGAGGTTGGTATGCTAAGAAACGGAAATAAAAGCGACAAGTCGAAATGATTGCAAAATATGAAATCTAAATAGAATTAATATTTTTAATACCGCACGAGTTAATTACTATGTACATAACTACAAACTATAACACAGTGCAACACAAAAAATAATTTTGGGAAAAATGCAGTTGATTGTGAAAATAGAGCAGAAAATAGGAGCAAAGTACCCTAACTAAAGGGGCCAAGTTCCCCCTCTTCCACATGTTTTTAAATTTTTGAATAACGATTCTTAAGCAATATTGCAGATAACTCTCAAGTGAGTCACCAAAGAGTTCTTTTTGGTCCTTCTTTCAAAATATGGTTAAACATCCTTTTTAAACGGGATCGTCGTAATTTAAGGTATTTTACAAAATTATTTGTCATAAAATTCTACTATAGGGCCCAGAAGTCATGAAAATTCTGATTCTTACTTTAAGTCAGGACTTCATAAATATTACAAACACAGTTCGGAGTTATAACTATACTTAACTAGCTGGCCCGGTCCGCGTTGCCGGCCCTCACTTTTATTGTATGATAAAGAACATCTATAATAGCCCCATGTGAAAATTCAGCTCAATTTTTGGTATTGTAAAAAGCATTCAAATGAGCTATAATTTCAAATTTGTATTTCCAACGTTTAAAATCCCATACTGCGTGGTATTTAGTTTTGTCCACCTCATACTTGAAGGCAGAATGTTGTCAGAATAGCCAAACAAATTACTCTTTTGCTCCCATTACAGTAAGATGGGCATTAATTGTTTGTCACTTAACTTGTGTGATGGAGATCCAATAAAGTTACTTTTATAATTTCGTATTTTTTTCATGTTTCTGCCACAATTTCCGACTGAATGAGTCCCAGATTAACATTTCGGAGTTTATTTCATATAGACGTACGTCCCAAATCTACGTTCCCAACCAATATTCTCTTGGGGGTTACAAATTCAATAAAATACTAAATTTTCTTTCCTGACCACACATTGGTTGGGAAAGTGGACTTGAGGGTATACTAATGTCGGGACTTTACTTAAATAAATGCCTATGTGGATAAATATCTGTAAGATGATTTTCTATTTATTGAGTAATACGAAGAAATAACAGTTTTATCCGTTGAGGCTTTATACTACCCAAAAAAACCTACACATCATATTAGAATTAAAAAAAACACTACAAATTTATATTCAAAATAGTAAGTCAGAATGGAAAAAATATGTAATATAAAACATTACTATTGTACATTTTAAAAGTACAATTTAAAATATGAAGTTTAAAGTGAAACACGCTTGAATTTAGATACTTTTATATAAAAATGTTTCCTTTACCCTCAGATGGATGATAATAATAATTCTGCCCGGCCGAACTTAATTTTTTAACTTGCTTTTAAAGTAATATGAATTATTATTGCGCGTTGGAGACCTCATAATTTCCATATCTTTTATCATAGTATAAATCACTACTAATGTACATGTCCGATTCATTACACTACTAATGTACATGTCCGATTCCTTAACTCATATGATGGTTATACGAAACGTGATCAGTTTTTGCATGGATGGTTTCTTCCCAAATTACCAACATTTGCCGAAAATAGTATGAAAATATCGTTAAAATGTAAGATATACTTGAAATCGGGTTGCAGCTGGTTTTTTATTTTTTACTTGTTAGCTGGTTTTTTACGGCCAATATTTAAAGGTCCTTACGAAGTTTGGTCCTTACTATTATTTTGAAATTTGATTACATTGAAAAAATGTTCTCAGTTTTTCCCTATTTTAGAGTTTTTGCAGTGCAATATGCTCTTTTTTGATTTTTTAGCAATTTTGGGTTGACCACGTTAAATTATTTTGACATCTTCTATTCAGTTCCGCCACTTCATAATTTTCGTTGCTTTCTACTATCCAAAAAGACTACACATCATATTAGAATTAAAAAAAAACACTACTAATGTACATTCCGAAGTAGTAAGTCTAAAAAATCATGCAAAATAAAACATTACTATTGTACACTTCAAAAGTCAAAATGAAAATTTTAAAATTTCACATTTTTACCCGATTTTTTTTGGATTTTATCCTTTTCTGCCAAGAGACAATTCCGAATTTGTGTAAATCGTTAAAATCAGATCAGCGGTTCTTGAGTTATAAGCGTAGTAACTAACACAACTTCCTTATATATATAGACAGATTAGAAGTATGCGTGGTCAGTTCCTCAGCCCCAAATAATTCCCTAGGGTTGGAGGGAAAGTCAACAGTATCTCGTATAATAATTTTCAAACCGATATCTTCATTATCTGGCAAATATAAAGATTTTAGATAAATCAAGATAGTAAAAGTAGGCGTGGCCAATATTTTTTTCTTTAAAAACCTATCTCGGGGTATGACGAACGTTTGTACAAAAAAATTATGCAAATCGGTCCAGCCGTTTTCAACTGATTCCGTTACCAACAAACAACAATTGATTTATATATATATAGATGTGGCTACATGGATGACGTTTCGAATTTCACTATAAGTCATTAAAGAATAGAAATCTCTATCAAAGCGAAAATATTTCCTATTTATACCCTCGGCCATATGGCGTCAGAAGGTATATATATATATCAAATGATACGGGCAAAACGTGCCCCATCGTAATAACGATCAAGACAACCCTCGGAGGATGTATCTGATTCGATCCAAACTTGGTACATAGTAATATTATTGTCAAACTTAGATCGAGTTCGGAGATGGGCAATATCGGTCCACTCCTTCTGGTAACTCCCCCACAAAAGGTCACAGAAAATTATTTTCCTTATAAAACAAGAAAGGAACTTCCCATTTATGCAAAATTTGCAAATCCCAAAATTATTTATAGGTCAGGTGCGAAAATTGGCAATATCACTCCACTCCAATATGTACCTCCCACACAAAGGTTCAACATTTGGAATAATTATAAACCTTTTGAAAAGCGAAATAAGCATCCGATTCCAAAAGTTCAAAAATACGACATACGGGTGATATCCCAGATAGAGGAGATATAGTTCAAACGTTAAACCCACAAACAGTTCTCTAAAAAATCACAAAGAATGTAATATGAATTAGGTGGTTCTCGTAGATTAAATTAAAATAAAATACGAAACTTGAAAAAAATCCGATGAATACTTTCGCTAAAATCATAAAAAAACTGAATATCAAGGGAGGTGAATCGTTGCATGTGGGGTATGCGATATCGTAGGCCTATATAAACAGGGTGTAAAGTATTCAAAAGGAACTCTTAGTATGGATTTTCAGACAATTCCAAATGTGGCTAAAATCATCAGAATCTTAAATATCGGGAGGTACCGTTATATGGGGGATATACGCTATCGTGAACCTATATAGAAAATTCTTTTTAAGGCGGTGGAGTATTCAGAAGGAACTCCTTGTGTAGATTTTCAGACAATACCTATGAAAAACTGGGCTACAATCATCAAAGTACCGAATATCGGGAGGTATCGTTATATGGGGGCAATGCGAAAACTTGGACCTGCAAAGAAATTTTTCCGCCATAGGTTAAAGTACCCACTGCAAACTGCAACTAAGAAATTTGAAAAAATGCATCTAAAATCATCATCATCGTGGACCTAAATAGACAATTCTATTTTATGAGATAAAGTACTCAGAAGGAACTCCTTGTGTGGATTTTCAGACAATTCCAATAAAACAATTTGGGTACAATCATCAAAATACCGTTATATCGGGTATACATTTTTTCCAGGGGGTAAGGTACACCTAAAGAATTCCTTGTGTATAAGTTCTGATTATTTAATTGAAAAATGTGGGTAAAATCATCAAAATACCGAATATCGGAGGGTGCCGTTGTATGTGGACTATTCGATATCGTGGACCGATATAGCCCATCTTCGAACTTGACCTGCCTGCAGACACATGACTGATCTGTGCAAAATTTTAGCTTTTTATCTTAATTCGTTTTGACTCTAGCGTGAATCCAACAGATAAACGGACAGATCTAAATCGTTTTAGAATTTTACGCTGATCAAGAATATATATACTTTGTTAGGTCTAAAATAATTATTTCGAAGAGTAACAAACGGAAAGACGAACCCTCCATACTATGTATGGTGGAGGATAAAAATAACCATGTTTCTCCTTTCTTCAAAATATTGTCATTTTTACTCCATTACTGGGCATAGTTGGATAGAAATTCGCCTAAAATAAACCTCGTTTTGGAAAATAGTTTATAATTTAAAATGATACCTATCTTCAAGATTTTTAGGCCCTCTTAATAGTTTTTCAACTTAATTTACCATCGATTGGTATTTTGGACCCGTAACCGGGAAAAATACTATCTCTTAAAAATATTTAGCATTTTTCCGCCTGCGGTTAGCCATTAGTAAATTTGATTATAATTTAAATCTTCCCATGGTATTTACACAACAAAGCCACACTTGTCGGCTTTTTTTGCTTAATTTTATTTGTTAACTAATTATCGTAGTTTCGCTAATTTTATAGAGGAAACACTAACTCCAGATGTATGACCAACCTTAATATCACGAAATGGAGTTAATCTAAATGGCTTTCTGCATGATAGACGTTATTTATCAATGATTACACTTTCCCCTTAGCCAAACATCAGTGGTAGTTGTTGGTACAAAATGATTCTCTCACTCTCGCTTCTCACCCGAAAAAAAAACAAAAATAAAAATAAAAAGAAATGGCCAACATAATCAAAATTGATGATTTTTTAAGAGTTCAATCTGTGCTGTAATATCTGTGGCATTCAGTAGCATTTGCTCAGTTGTTATGTTAAGATCGCGATCGGATCGACAAAAAAAAAACAAAACACAACAGGTGTCCGGAAACCTTCGCGTGTCATTGCTACGAATACGAACGATGATGAAAACAAGCGGGAGCCCTAGTCAGAAGATAAAGTGTTGATAGTCGGTATTTGTGTTTCGACAGTTGGAATTTAAGATGTTAGAGAAATTCTTTTGCTCGTTAAGTGTGGCAGTCAGCAGAGCACCAAGAGTAAACGCTAAACACTGTCAGCGGTAGCAGCAGCAGCATAACGACGTCGACTTCCTCTGCTTACAAGCCAGCCACCGTCCATTATTTCAGCATCATCATCATCACCACCGTCTTCATCAGCATAACGACTGCCGTTCACAACAAACCTTTCGATTGTTTTCATTCCGTTCGCGCGTGAAAAAACCTTTCTCCAGCTGTCTTCTTGTCTTTCGATTAAGACGATTCGAAGTGGCGAGCATAGTTTGTGGCCAAAAGTGTTAAAGAGCGTTTATTAATTCCGTTTGAGATCTTCGTAAGAGTAAACGTGTCGTTGGGAGAAGTGACCCTCGAATTTGGAGATTTTTATTAAATTCTTTTAGAAGAAAATTAAGAAACAGTATGCATTTTCTGCGCCTGCGTTTCGTACTTCACATAGGTGTGCTTCTGCTGCTACTGACAAAGTTCAAGCTCAGCTCGACATTCGGTCACAAGTTCAGACTCATGAAGAACAGCTTTCGTTATATCCAAGAAAATATGTTGCGAACTAGTCTGAATCGGGCTCAGCTGAATAACGGAATTGTTTTCGAGTGTCGTTCAACGTAAGTGTGTGTGTGTGTGTGTGTGTGTGTGTGTGTGTGAATTTTCAAACCGATATACACATGTAAAGTGTAAAATTATATAATTTTACTTTTCAAATGAATTATGAAAATTAAAAAATCTTGAAAGGCAAGAAATGTAAATCCTGTGTCCGCCAAGAAAAATATAATCGAAAATATGAAAATCAATCGTCTAGGAAAAACTTAAACATAAGTGTAATTTATTTTATAAAAAAATTGAAATAATTTAAACAAAATATTTAAAAAAAAAATTAACATCGATACAAATAAAAATTATAAAATCTCCAACAATCGACTTAGAAAAACTAACAAAATCATAAAAGTAATTTTGGTCTTAAAAGCATGGAAATAATTTTCAAACAAGCCTTCAAAACTCCGATGTTATGTTAAAATGAGTTTGCACATAACTTCATTGAGTTTTAAAAACAGTTCAAACCTTTTATAAAATCTTTTATGCGTACTACTTTTGAGTGATCCAAATTTCATTTCTTTAATGATGTCTAACAACACGCTGCTACTTATCGCTTTACAATGGAATGCCTAATGTTGTAAAAATGGAAATCATCAATGACTGTTTTAACCTAATAATCCGCAACGAAAGTTATGCTAATTTTGATGGATTTTTCAAAATAAATTTTAATATATTATTCCACGAGTTGTAAGCTATAAAATATCACTTTTTTTGTTATGGACTTTTTAAATTAAAAAAAAAATAACGGACTATATGCTTACAAATTTAACCAGAATAAGAAAAACATTCGTCGGGCAAAGTAAAAAATAAAAATGCAAAACAAATTTCATTATCAAGGTTATATGTTATTACAGTAACAAGAACAAAAAGTGGATTTAAATTTAAATTAATTCCATAAACAAAAAATATATATTTTAAACACCCAACCTGGCACTGATAAATATGTTGGGATTTTCAAAGTTTAAGCAGAATTTGGTGATGCTTCTTTGATCTATGCAGTAAATTATTTTTCAGCTTAAGTTTTGAACTTATGTGTGGTAGTTACCAGAAGGATGGAACCGATCTATCGATCTAAGCTTGACAATAATATTACGATATACCTATGATTTTTTATATCAATAATATATTATGCTCCCAACTGAGTCTGAATTCCCTATCTAATTACATAAAAGATGGTTTGGAGATGCGGGGCATCGATCCCCGTACCTCTCACATGCTAAGCGAGCGCTCTACCATCTGAGCTACATCCCCATATTAAAATGTAGTTTAATTCAAAAAAAAAATGTAAAATATTTAATGCACTCTATGTAATCATCATGACATGACATGAAAAGTTAACTAATTAACTTTGTTAGCCACGCACAAGAAAAATGACATTGGCCATGGTACAAATATTACTAGGTAGCACCAAAACCCAGCTGGTTTGATTCTACAGTTTTTAGCTATTATTTGTGATCACTTTTCTAGGCATGCATTATTGAAAACTTTAAAATGGCTATAACTCCGTAAATGTTCAGTTTTCGTCGTTTTTAGCTATTATTTGTGATCACTTTTCTAGGCTTGAATTACTGGGTTGCCCATATTCGACGGACCTTTGGGCCCATTCCAATCGACGAGGCTTGTCCGCAGGCAACATTCTTTGCGTCAATTGAATTTTGTACGGGAACAAATGCAAATCAATGCGAATAATCCGTTGTAAAGTGGACCGAGCCATGCCCAACTGCTGAGAACGGCGTTTTTGGGATGTTCTTGGGGACCTCTCAACACTGGCTCGTACGGCAGCGATATTCTCGGTCGATCGCCTTGGTCGACTTTTATATGGCCTCTTCGGATTAGAAAGAGCCTTACCAGTCGAAAATTTTTCGTATAAACGCTTAATGGTGTTCTTAGAAGGCGAACTTCTCACATTTTTTAATATTTTAAAAGCACGTTGAATTTTCACAATTGACTTCTTCTGTTGAATGTAAATTTCAACTATTTCGTGTGGCGTGTATTGGTTCATGGTAAAAATCTGCTTGGACTGACGCTTCAAACGCGGTATGTCATTAAGCGATGTGACATATCTGTCAAAAGTTATGGCGTTGCCAGATGGGTCCGTCGATTATGGGCAACCCTGTATATCCTGAACTGCACAAAAAAAGTTCAATGAAATGAGTATTGAAAAAAATATTTCTACCCTACAACACTATGTGTTGAGGGTATAATAAATTTGATTGGGCCAAAAATTATGTAACACCTCGAAATATTGGTTTCCCACATAGGAAAGTATATATGGATCTTACTATCTTGCCGAGCTGAGTCGATCTAGCTATGTATGTCCGTCTGTCCATGTTAATTTGTAATCACTCTACAGGTCGAAATTATGGATGTGGGGATAGAGCCAGAATAGAAGCCTATTGCTTTTGGATATGATCGCATAATATTTAGGGGTTGAAATGGACCAAAACCTGAAAAAATTCCTGATTTTGCAGTTGTTCTACAGGTCACAATTATAGACCAATCGAAGCGGAAGTTAGCACAGGCCAAGAGCTTAGGCCTAGGCAGAAGCCTTTCAATTTTGATGGTCATCGGGTAATAATTAGTGGGTGTAATAGACCATAACATCTGTGTTTAATAAAATTCAAATTTTCCATTAAACCGCGAATATTTTCAATCCCGGCGAAATCATAAATAGACGAAAAGGTCAATTCTGACCATTACGTAGATGCCAATAGTAAATATATCGGAAGGGGATGTTAGCTTGAATGCTTATATCTCAAGAATGGCTGGGCCGATTTTGACAAAATTTGTCAATTTAGAATGTCCTCTTCGCATAAAAAAAATATATAAAAAATTGCTTTTATGCTGTTTTGGTTGACGAATATAGCCAAATATCGTAGACAAGCAAATCATATAGATGAGTCTAAATTTGGAGAAACAGAGGTGCCCCTTGTTTTTGGAGATGATCGCAAAATATTTAGCGGTTCAAATGAACCAAAAACAGAAAGAATTCTAGCTGTAAAATGGATCACAACAACTAACACACGAGGGAGTGCGTAAATATTGGGCAAATGTCCCTGGTCAAAATGCAAAGGGGAATATCTGGGCAGTGCTCCGTGACATAATTTCAAAAGCGAAATCTTCTAAAATGGATTTGGACATAAGAGGGCTTCTAACATAATTTAGTGTTGTAGGGTATCACATGGTCGGCCTCGTACGACTATAGCATTTGCTTACTTGTTTGTTATGGATTGCTTATTACGGCATTATTAGACTTAAACATAAAATCGGATGAAACATATATATGGAAGCCACATAGCCTTAATTTAACCGATTTTCATTAAATCCCAAATATTTGCTCAGACGCTGAATTCGGTCGTAAGTGCCAAAGCGCAAACATTGTACGCTGATATTATACACTTGGTTCACTATAAACGTGAAATTGGAACTATATCTAAATCTGATAGATGTTGGAATATCGGAACCGATTTTCATCAAATATGACGTACATAATTATAGGCATGTTCCAGTCATACCTGCCAAAATTGCTCCTTTTTTGGTAAATATGACACATTTGGCCCACACTGTAATCGCAATCGGACGAAGAAATATGTACGTGCTATATCTGAATTTAGACCGATTATCTCTAATTTCAAAAGAGAAAAGCATACATGGATTTAGAATATAATTCTAAATAATTCGATCACAAAGCCAAATTATCGTGTACCACAGTGGGGTGTAAAATAAAAAACATGCAAAAAAAAAATAATAAAAATAAAAAAAACATAAAAAAGCTTGAGGGTTTCTAGGTATAGTCCAAACTGTGCATATAGAAATACTTGTATCAAACTCAAAATATTGGTCCAAGATATAGGAAACACTATATATATGTGATAGCAAAACATTTAGGTGTTTAAAAAAGTTGATTTTGTATTTTCTCTAGAGGTCACAATTATACTCGGAATTCAGCAAGAGCTGGACTGAATCCAATCAATTTGAATAGTCATCAAATAATGTTAAGCTGTTGAAATATGTCATATCTTTTATATAAAACAGACGGACATCTCTATTAAACCGGGAAAATTTTGTAATTCCAGATACAATTGCATGAAAAGGTAACGTCGACGGTTATATTGATGTTGATATGCCAGACATCGCATATATAGCAAAATATATTCAATCCCATACATAAAAGACAGCTTATGCCCCAAGAACGGCTGGATGGATTTTCCACCAATTCAGAATGACCTTTTGGCCACTCGCATTAAGTCGTATAATTTTCCATACAAATGGTAAAATTTTTGGAAATTCATATAATGTGATTATTTTTCGGGATTTTCCTAAACTTCACACATCCAAATATTTCTTCCAAATAATAGTGGAATATTAGAAAAATACCAACTCATATGGATAAAAATGAAATAATATAATTATCTATCCACCCTAATGTAATTAAATGACTTGGCTCATTGTTTATTGGCTTACATATTATGCTAATTAGTATTTGAATAAACAAAAGTCAAAACACAATACGCAGACGTATCACAGATCTACAGCTCGGAAATAATAATGGAGAAAACAAAGCCAGGTCTCAATATGGGAAATAACTTAAATTAACTCATTTTATTTGTTAAAAAAAAAAAAAAAAACTAATTTTCTATTATTAAATTGGAGGCGAAAAAATCCGACCATGGAAGCAATATGGTACAAAATTACAGTTACTAAAATAGTTTACAACTTTGTTAGACAATTGTCAAATAAAGAAAGGTATTTATGAATGAATACAATTAATGGTTAAACAATAAAATATGACATAATGACGAAAAGATTAGATTAATTTGCATGATGTCAAACAAAAATATAAGAGATTTTAAATCTTCAAAAATTTACTTATTCTCATACCAAAAGGATATAAATAATTTAGACAATGAGACACGTTTTATATTGTTATGGTTTAAATTTATTTTTATTATTGAGTTTATTCTAATTTTATATGGCCCGGTCCGCGTTGTCGGCCCATACTTTTAGTCTTTATGTATGTATGGTTTAATGTATAATAAATCACAGATCTGACTTATGTAAGCGGCAAAATTTTTATTAGAAGTAATAACTCCATAGTAATTTCTAAATAGAAATATATGTTCATGACAAAGGTTTTCTGTATTTTGAATGGCCTGATCTTATTTTTCAGCCATAGGCTTTAGTTGGAGTGTTGACAATTTTCCAATTAAATGAGCTGTAATTTGGTTTTGCTGCGTGGTATTTAGTTTTGTCCACCTCATAATTGAGGGCAGAATGATTTCATAATGGTGAAAGATAATTATTCTTTTACACCCATTACCGTAAGATGGGAAGTAATTTTGTTGTCATTTAAATTGTCCATATTTTTTTCATCATAGTATGACGATTGACAATCAATATTCTTGTTCCAAATCAATATTCTCTTGGGGGTTACAAATTCAATAGAATACAACATTTTCTTTTCTGACCACACATTGGTTGGGAAAGTGGAGATTGGAGTACACTGATGTGGGGACTATACTTAAATAAATGTCTTTGTGGACAATTATCTGTAAGATGGTCCTCTACCCCAGAGTAGCCGAAAGACCCCGAAAATAGATTTAATCATATGGTGGTTATACGAAAACGTGATCAGTTATTCCAAGGATGGTTTCTTCTCAAATTACCAACATTTGCCGAAATTAGTATGAAAAATATGGTTAAAATGTATAATATGCTTGAAATCGGTTTGTACCCCTATGCGGGGATTATGACCCATATTTTGACCTGCAAAAGGTCAAAAGATCGGTATTTCACTGATTGCAGTCCCAATGAATTTTGCATTTTGAGTTCTCATTGGACGCATTATTGTCTGTTAACGGAGTAGGTCCACGTTTTGAAATGAGTCCCATAACGCTTTCTCGGTAATTTTTGTTTTGTTTAAATGTGTTTGCATCTTCAAACTGAAGCACTTTTTAGGTCCTGGAGTTTAAAACTAGATGCCAATGAAAGATGGATATTTATTATCGTATTGCGCACTCATTTAAAAAAAGAAAAATATATTGAAAAAAAAAATGTTTAAATGCAAATGTTTAAATGTCCTTACGAAGTTTGTCAATAGAATGTACCATAATTTTGAAATTAGGTTCTATTGAAAATGTTTTCTCGATTTTTTCAGATTTTAGAATTTTTGCAATGAGGTGGTTTTTTTTCTTGATTTTTTAGCGATTTTGAAAAAGTAATTATACTTTAACTACGGTGTAACCGCGTTAAAATATTTCGACATCATATATTCAGTTTAGCCACCACATGATTCGGTACTACACTTCTGTGCACGTCTGCAATTAATAGCTTATCCTCTTCTGAAATGATTTTATTCGTATAATTTTATTTACACAACAAATACATAAAACCTATAGCAACCAGTTTTGTCCGTTGCCGCTTTAAATAACACATATAATGGAATTCAAACTACACAATCATAATGGAATTCAAAAAAAAAAAAAAAAAAAAAAAACGCAACAAATGTACATTCGAAAATAGTAAGTCAAAATAAAAAAACGCATGTAAAATAAAACATTACTATTGTACATTCCAAAAGTCAAAATGAAAATGTTCAAACTGCACATTTTACGGTTTTTTTTTTTGTGATTTTATCCTTTTCTGCCAAAAAACAATTACGAATTTGCCTGAATCGTTAAAATCAGATCAGCGGTTCATGAGTTATAAGCGTAGGAACTAACACAACTTTCTAAAATCTAAAATGTTCTATATTTTGACCATGTGGTACAACAAACATATAATGAGACCTTGATGTATTTTGAAGGTTCTTACCAAAATAGTTGTACAAATACTGATTTTTAAAAATGTGAGTGAGTCAATCAAGTAATGTAAAAAAATATTAATTCAGCTGTAATTTATTTCAAATATTTGACAACAGAAGTTGTTTAAATGTTTACATAATTCACACAATTAATATTTAACTAAGGTTACAGCCGAAAAAATGTGGAGTAGCATTATATGAAGCATTATAGAGTTCGTTCGTTTAACATTTACTTTTCCCGGCCCATTTGTACTACTTCAAACTATACCACACTGCATTCAAGGTATTATGACCTCTTGTATTTGTTTGTAACATAGAAAACAGAAAGAGAAATACAGGGTGAGATGAAAAAACTCCAACCAACTTCAGACGGCTGTCATTTCTAAGCCACTCGTCCGACAGCTGTTAACATTATTCTAGTGACAGTAAAATCATTTTGGTGAGAATTTTCCAGAAATAAAATTAATCGTGCTGGAATTCAAGCGTGATAGTGTGATTACTTTTATTTGGCTGGAAAACAACAAGTGGCAGCATTTAAATGGGGATAAATCTTTTGTGTCTCTTACCATCGCTTGTTACCGTGATACTTGTAACGTAGCGCGACGTCAAGGAAGTAGACGGAAGAAAACAGCAACATCAGCAGAAATGGTTCGAAAAGTAAAGAAGCGACTTGATCGAAACCCGCGTCGCAGTGGCCGAAAATGGCTTGTGAGCTGAACAATCGCTCGCAATATTCCATTCGGCAAATGCTGAAAAACGAGCTCGGGGTAGAGTCATTGAAATTCAAAAAAGTGGAAGAACTTACACCCCAACAGAAAGAAAATAGACTCAAAAGAGCTAAAGAGTTGTTTCGCCGTGGTTGCTTTGCCGAAAGTGGTGAACAACCGAAATTGGTTTTCTTCGATGAGAAAACATTCGTTGTCCAGCAGTTTGTAAACAAACAAATGATCGTGCCAAAGAGGTCAGCTGAAAATGTACAGTTTCGGTTGGCCACCAGAACTCAAGCGCCGGCCATGGTGATGGCTGTTATGGCGACCCACATAACAGACGATGGTCGCTCTCCGCTCGTATTAATCGACTGAGGCATTAGAATAAATGCCATTATCGCGAAAATATTTTGGAGGGTGTATCAATGGGCCTAAATACCGCAGGGCAACATCCGAGCAGCGTGTGACGGTTTCATTGGCCGTTTGAAGGCTATAGTTCGTGCCAAAGGAGAACTTATTCTAAAATTTGATGCTATTTCCGACATTTTTAGCTTTCATTCAATAAAATTAAAAAAAAAAATTAAAATTTATGGCGTTTGACTTTGTTGCAGTTTTTTATCTCACCCTGTATATATGTAAAACAAATCGATCATAGTTCTTCTGCTTATAAGTCAAGATTCACTGGACTGAATTTCACAGAGAAGGATAAAATCTTAGAAAATCGCGTAAAAATATACCAACAAAAATGTGAATATTTTTTTACATTTTTTATTTCTTGTCATCTTTTTTATCGCATGCTATTTTTGTATTTGGCTGAGAATTTTTCCACACCCGCAAGACTATGTGTTTAGGGTATTATATAGAAGTCGTAATTATCGTCCGATCCTCAAAAAAATTTACATGGGGGTAGGGTTAGGGTTAGAATTCAAGCCTACTGTTTTTGAAGATGTACATTTAGGGGTTCAAATGGAACAAAAATTAAAATTTTCCTGATTTTGCAGTAGCTCTACGCGGCACAATTGAAAACCAATCGACACAGAATTTTGCATGAGAAGATAGTTAAGGACAGGGAAGAAGCTGTAAAATGGAATTAAATACCTAACAAATAGACGGTGTGCGTAAATATTGCGCAAATTTTCCCTGTCAAAAAGCTAAGGCTAACATTTGGGCAGGGTTCTACGACATCATTTCAAAAACGAAAACTTCCAAAAAGGATTTGGACATAAGGGGACTTCCAACGTATTGTAGTGTTGTAGGGAATCACATGGTCGTGCGGGGCCGACTACAGCGTTTGCTTACTTGTTTAATTATAAAATTAAAATAATTTTGATATCATTCTAATTATTTTATTTTAATCTTTTTTCACAGCCCCAACACATATCTGGGAAAGGAAACACATTTCACGATACAACTGGGAGATTTGCGTGGATTCGAACGGCTTGATCGTGACAAGAAGTTGGCATTTTTTCTCCATGGCTGGAACGATGAGGGCAGCAAAGAATGGGTACTCGAAATGTTATTTAGTACGTTTGAGAAATGTGATCTAATAACCGTATAAAACATAAACCCTTCCCTTATTTATTTTCTAGCCTGGACACGATATCAGCCCGACTATACGGTGTGCGTAGTGGATTGGGGTAATTTATCACAAGTGGATTATAAGTCGGCGTCAATGTCTATATTTGATGTTGGTTTGACGGTGGCAGCAATTGTGGAATTTTTGGAAAATTTCTATCCCAGACATATGTCGAGAAAGAATGTAACAATTGCTGGTTACAGTTTGGGAGCTCATGCGGCCGGATATGCGGGATCAGTTCTCAAAGGTGAAATTGAACAAATCATTGGCCTGGATCCGGCTGGACCGTTGTTCACTCTACCGGCTGTTGTATCAACTGATTATCGTCTCGATCCTTCCGATGCACAATTTGTTCAGGTTCTACACACATCCGGTGGTACATTGGGAGTTGGTGTAAAGTCGGGTCATGCCGATTTCTATCCAAACGGTGGAACAGCACCACAACGGAATTGCAATTCATTTTTTCAATTGCAAGATATGCAAAATACAAGTAAATCGCAATATTTATCTGAGGCTATGACGAGTAAATAATTTTTCTTCACTTCCTTTCAGATCCCATTTCCTGCAGTCATTCAACAGCTGCAGTATTCTTTAAGCAATCGATGAATCCCAGCTATGTTTTTATGGGCTATCACTGTGACAGTTATTCGAGCTATACGAGAGGTTGGTGTTCGAAAAACCGTTATGGACGTTTTGGAATACATTCCCAGAAAATGTCACGTGGCGATTTTTATTTCGATACCCTACCTCAGAAACCATATGTAGAGCCAAAGACAAGAACCCGCCATCGAATAAATTACAATAGGTTTCGTTTTGGCTGATGTGATTAAATTTAATTAGCTTAATATAATTTTTTTTGTTACTTTAAGAGCATTTAATTTAAATTTAAAATTAGTTAATAATATTATGTAAATTAAAAACAAATTTAAATATAATTATATCATTTAAATCATGTGAGAAAGCTTTAATTTGTCAAGGCAAAAATTTACACTTTTATGGATTTCCATCGAACTACAGCCTTGAGAATGGCATAAGCCGGGGTGTAATACATATTTTAAGATTTTATCGAAAAGTTCATGCAAAAAATTGTCTAAAAATATTAAATATTTGTAAGGGAAAAATATTTTAACCAGTTAAAAAAAATATTTAATTTTTATATCTGAGGTTTAAAACAATGAAATTCCATATGCGAATTATAAGCACTATGAAAACGAATAACTAACTTAATACCATAATTGTGTAAAGACACTGGATTATGCTATAGGTTATATATTCAATACGTGCAATGGATTGTAACGTGACCTACTTAAAATGCACGGTACTGTATAATTGTACAGTGTACGTGATAAAATAGATATTGAAGTCTAAATAATTGTAAATTTTGGTAAACAAAATTTTATTCAGAAAAATATTTTTTAGTATCTGGGGATGTAGCTCAGATGGTAGAGCGCTCGCTTAGCATGTGAGAGGTACGGGGATCGATGCCCCGCATCTCCAAATATATTTTTCATAAAAATACTGAGAACAACTTAAAAAGTAACACTCGATTTTGAAAACAGATGTATACCCTCAGACACTAAACGATGAATTTAATATATTGTGACTAGCGTTAATGTTAATCAAAATGCTTACCTTTTATAGGGAATTGCGAGAAGGCTTATACCGATTAATTCCAAATTTACATCAGATCTCTGGTTGAGACAAATACACTCGACCGACAGCTGATAAAATAATTCCAGTGACAGCTCATTATATTGTTTATAAACGTTCAAAAGCATTTTGGTGAGAATTTTTCAGAAAAAAAGTTATTCGTGATGGAATTCAAGCGTGATAGTGTGATTTCTTTATATTTGGCTGGAAACCCACAAGTGGCTATCGTTAGAGCATTCCAGCATTTAAATGTCAATAAATCTTTTGTGTCTCGTACCTTCGCTCGTTACCGTGATACTGGTAGCGTAGCTCGACGTCAGGGAAGTGGACGGAAGAAAACAGCAACATCAGCAGAAATGGTTCGAAAAGTAAAGAAGTGACTTGATCGAAACCCGCGTCGCAGTGGCCGAAAAATGGCTCGTGAGCTGAACATATCGCAATATTCCATTCGGCAAATATTAAAAAATGAGCTCGGGGTAAAGCCAATGAAATTCCAAGAAGTGCAAGAACTTACACCGCAACAGAGAGAAAATATACTCAAATATGATAAAGAGTTGCTCCGCTTAGCCGAAAGTGGTGAACTGCCGAATTTGGTCTACTCCGATGAGAACACATTCGATGTCCAACAGTTTGTAAACAAACAAAATGATCGTGTTTAGCTGAAAATGTGCACCTTCGGTTGGCAACCAGATCTCAAGAGCCGGCCATGGTGATGGTGTGGGCCGCCATATCAGCCGATGGTCTCTCTCCGCTCGTATTAATCGACCATGGCATCAACATAAATGCCCAATATTATCGCGAAAATATTCTGGAGGGTGTATTAAAGCCTTGGGCACTCGAAACATTTTGGCAGCATTTGGGCACGCGCCACCCAAGAATTGTTACAAAATGTGGTTCCTCGCTTCATTTCCAGGGCACAATGGCCGCCAAAAGCTCGGGATACCAATCCGTTGGACTTTTATGTCTGAAGTAGTTAGGAAAGCAAAAGTTGGCACTAAAAATACCAAAGTCTCGATCACCTCAAGCCAGCGCTTCGCCAGGAATGGGCCAAAATACCGCAGAGCAAAATTCGGGCAGCATGTGACGGTTTCATTGGCAGTTTAAAGGCCATAATTCGTGCGAAAGGTGACCAATTCGGACAAATCTAAACTTTTTGTAAAATGTGATGCTATTTCCGACATTTTGTTTTTTTTTTTTTTTTTTCATTAAAAAACGAGAAAAAACATTAACATTAAATACCAATTTTCAGACAAATCCGTGAAAAAAATCTGACAAAAATCCTCAAAATACCGAATATTGAGAGGTACCGTTTTATGGGGGCTATACCAAAACCTGGAATTTTTACGCTCTACGTCAAATAATGTGGGCTGTATCGTAATTTCAACAGACAGGTGGACATTAATCGGACATCGTTATACCTTCCATACTATGGAGTTATCAACTCATTGATAAAACATTTATGTTTGACAAAAGGGAAGCTTCAACACAACGCTTAAATTGCAGGTCCATCTCGTCAGACTACCAGTAATGAGGAACAATTTATCCAATCAAAATAAAGATTTTGGAGCTATGCTATGTTTCATGACATTTTGAGTCTTTCTATCTATGTTCGTCTGGTTGCAATTGACTTAAGTTTCCACTCGAATATAATACTTTCTCCGGAATTTTCACATCGTAATATTTGTGTCAAACTTGGATCCAATTCGATACTATTTATTTATTTAAATTCGTATCTGATTTGGTACATCAAATTTTTTTTACCACGCTTAAGTCAGGTGCTTTAATCTCAGTACTACAGGGTTGCCCATATTCGACGGACCCATCTGGCAACGCCATAACTTTTAACAGAGATGTCACATCGCTTAATGACATACCGCGTTTGAAGCGTCAGTCCAAGCAGATTTTTACCATGAACCGAAACACGCCACGCGAAATAGTTGAAATTTACATTCAACAGAAGAAGTCAATTGTAAAAACTCAACGTGCTTTTAAAACATTAAAAAATGTGAGAAGTGCGCCTTCTAAGAACACCATTAAGCGTTTATACGAAAAATTTTCGACTGGTAAGGCTCTTTCTAATCCGAAGAGGCCATATAAAAGTCGACCAAGGCGATCGGCCGAGAATATCGCTGCCGTACGAGCCAGTGTTGAGAGCTCCCCAAGAACATCCCATTCTCAGCAGTTTGGTATGGCTCGGTCCACTTTACAACGGATTATTCGCATTGATTTGCATTTGTTCCCGTACAAAATTCAATTGACGCAAAGAATGTTGCCTGCGGACAAGCCTCGTCGATTGGAATGGGCCCATGGGTCCGTCGAATATGGGCAACCCTGTATATATTGTTTAAAAATGTATCGCACATACCTTCAGGTGCGTTTTTTTGTGTGTATAGACCGGGGTCCACAATGTAAGCCAAAAACATCGCAGTATAAGAAAACTAAGTTCAAACTATGTGCTAAGAATTCATACAACTCGGCAAACGGACTAGTGTTTCCTAACTGTTTTGTTTTTGTCATTTTTTTTTTTCATTTCTCTACAGATGTGTAAGTAACAACGAAATCTTACCAATTATATTTATTAAATGGGGAAAAAAATCTACCTTAATTTCCCGGCAATAAATCCGTAACTAGGCACTACATTTTCGGAATTTCAACTAAATGCAACCATTTGTTACGTCAATTATGGCGTAATTATGTTGCACTTATATCTGTCTCTCCTCTCTGCTACCTAGTGAGCCAGTGGGTGGGCCATCTATCCGTTCGTCTATGTAACATCATTACCCACCGAAAACCAGAGTAAGTCTGTCTGTTTCGCCATGACTTTGCTGCATTACAGGCCATTACAACCGGTACGGATGTGGTTGTCGTATTTTGAGGTTTTATAATGTGGGTGAATCCGGCGTTGTCTGTTGGCGTAATTATTTATACTTGCCACACGCACACTCACATGCAAATACATACATAAGTAAGGATTCACTAGCAGCTACATATTCACCGCATACCTATGTAAATATTTATGTGTATGCGTAACTCTTTGAGCAAATATGTTGATATTAAATGGTTTGGCAAAGAATGTAAATTATTCACAATGATTGTGGAGTTTATTGAAAGCTGGAATTTTGATTAGAGCTTGGTTAGTGGATGTTTCCGCAAACACAGTTAGTGGTAATTTGATGGAGGAGCTATAGGGGTGGGTGATGAGGTCGCCCAAAAATGTGATTAGCGCTGTTAATTTTATTTGTTTTGTAATTTTCACAAGATTATGGCGACGGCGATTATGCCAGGGATTAATGGCGGGCAAATTTGTTCAAATAGTCTCATTAGACTCGGTTGAGTGGTGGAGTTCGGAAATTTGCAATTAATGAAAGTGATGAAATTATGGTTTATAGTTTTCTAATTGGTGCTTTCATTGTTTATGGCGAGAATTACATTATATTTTTTGGGAGCGTTTTTGCTGATAAAAACGGAACCTTTGTTGGAGATGCGGGGCATCGATCCCCGTACCTCTCACATGCTAAGCGAGCGCTCTACCATCTGAGCTACATCCCCAGTTGCAGGTATTTTTTTATTTGAATATCCGTTTGATAAATTGGTAGGTCTCAAAATTTTTTGCATTTTTTAATCACATCACGTACTCCGCTGCATAGGGTGCATTATAAATTAATTGAAGCATTGGTTGTCTTAAGCATTGGTGATCCCTGTGTGATTTATAATCAAGCCTTACTTAGTCAAAGAAAAAAATTGGTCTGACTAAAAACGAGTGGGACACAACGAAATGGCCACATTAATATACCCTTCATGAGATTGTGGAGGGTATAAAAATATTACATATTGGGAAGAAGGGTTATATGGGGACTATACGAAGACGTGGATAGATACATGCCATATTCTAAGAGTAAGAGTACCCATTACGAACTCCAAATACAAGAAATGAAAAAATCATGTGAAAATGTGTCACAAATCATCAAAATATCGAATATCGGGAGTAACAGCTATATGGGGAATATACCAGAATTTGGGCCTTATATACAGTCCGTTGCAAGGATGTTTTCTTTAATTAGAATTCTTAATTTTGAAATATTGTATAGAATATAATCTGATGGTATGCATCTGTCGACTATAATAAGTGATGCATTCTAACTTTTTATACCCTACACCACAAGGTGGTCAGGGTATTATGGCTTGTGCATTTGTTTGTAATAGGCAAAAGGAAACGAGATAGAC